TTCCCTTGGGAGAAAAAACCTATTAGCATATTCACTGAAATTTTTTTTAACCCATAATACACACCACTGCCAAGTAATGTCACTTTTTTAGGGATTCACTTCGAAATTTTAAATTATATTTTAGCACCAATGTTGCAGCAGCTTATTTGAATATGTTTTTCAGAAAGTGTAAAAAATATGTAATGAATTCACAAGCTACTGAACAGACTATTTTTAGAAGAAATAAGACAACAGGAAACTGTTCAAAAGCAGATATTTTAAAATTAGCTGTGAATAAAAGAAAAGGACAAATGTATTGGGCTAATTCTAAATAATCAGCCATAAGTATGACATGATAACAGCTAGCTGGACAACAATCCATGTCTATATACAGCAGTATTTCTTTCTCAGTACACTCTGATAGACTCCACAAAGGCCAAGAGACTTCTACCTCCTCTTCAGATGTATAACAAGCCAAGTGAAGCAGTGAACATAGGCCTATCCACAAAAGGACACTTTTACATTTTTCTCACAACTCAAGATATTATCATAATTAACCAGTAGTCAAATGACCCCAGTTTGTGAAAACGAGCCACTGCCTTCAACATTATTAAATAATAAACTCTTTTGCCTCTTTAGTTGCAGGATGGCTACTCCTATACTTCCACACATAATCATCAGTATTTGCCTCCTGTGTCTCAACCTGCCTGAGTCAGGCGTGTGAAGAGGTGTTTCTTCTCCCACAGCTTTTGAGAGACCTTCCAAAGACATTTCAATATTTTCAGAGGCTCCAAGGTCATTACTTAACCAGTTTTGAAAGTACACTCAAAACTTATAAATTTTGTTAAAGAGCAAGCAACTGTCAAATTCCCCTTCTAAGTGACTTCATCCTGTTACTTATACATCACATATGTACATAAACATTCCTATAATCAAGTAATTCTAAATTTGGGACAAAATATCACACACAATAATCATTATCTTTTTTTTTGTTTGTTTTTGAGACAGAGTTTGGCTCTGTCTCCCAGGCTGGAGTCCAATAGTGCAATCTCGGCTCACTGCAACCTCTGCCTCTGGGGTTCAAGTGACACTCCTGCCTCAGCCTCCAGAGTAGCTGGGACTACAGGCGTGTGTCACCATGCCCAGCTAATTTTTGATTTTTATATTTTTAGCAAAGACAGCATCTCACCATGTTGGCCAGGCTTGTCTCGAACTCGTGACCTCAAGTGATCCACCTACCTCAGCCTCCCAAAGTGCTGGGATTACAGGTGTGAAAATAGGCCAGGTGCACTGGCTCATGTCTGTAATCCCAGCACTCTGGGAGCCCGAAGCAGGAGAACTGCTTGAGTCTAGGAGTTTGAGACCAGCCCAGGCAACATGGCAAAACTGTCTCTAAACAAAAAACACAGACATTAGCCAGGTGTGGTGGTGCATGCCTGTACTCCCAGCTACCTGGGAGGCTGAGGTAGGAAGATGACCAGAGCCCGGGAGTTGGATGTTGCAGTGAGCCAAGATGCACTCTAGCCTGGGTGACAGAATGAGACCCTGCCAAAACAAAAACAAAAAACAGTAAAGAAAATACAGTGGGGCTCTAGATCAACCAGAGACGCAGGAGCCTTTCATATGGGCAATATTAGAGCAGTATTTGCCAATATTTTTGGAATTCTAGTTTCATGAGAAGTTACCAGTGTTGTGTTCAAAAACAGAAATACTAATCATGTTTCTTCATTACAAGAGCTATCTTTAGATAGATAGGTAAGAAAAATAGCAAACACATTTGCAGGATTGCCACCGTTTGGCAGTGTTTCTCTAAGCCCACCTACCTTAGCCCTCTAGAAAGTCACTTAGGACAAATTCTGTTGCCTGAACCCAGAAATCCAGCTGCCTCCAACAGGTTCAGTGGAGCAAACAAATGGCAGAGGGAGTGAAGTGGTCCCTCTCTTCTTCCGTTAAGAAAGGAAGGGATCTCTGCTTCTCTTATCTACCCCAAAGTCTCATCTTATAAAAGTTGTTTATATTCCAGAAAAAGTTAAATGACAAATCCAAGCTATCCCACAATGGCCTCTACCCTTCAACAGAGAAAGGCCAGTTTTCATATTTAATAGCGGCCCTCACAGCCATAAAATCAGTGTAGTATTACATTTTTTCATTAACTCTGCATTTACCAACTAACTTCGGCTAGCCAAGAACAGTGAAGTGTTAGGGATATCATTTTTAAAAAGAAAATCTTTATTATAATAAAGTATATTATTCTAGTAATACCTTTGATTGATGGCCACATTCTAGACTTTAAGAACCACTTGGGATTATCTCCTTTAATTACTGTCTCTGCTCTATAAAGTTGGTACTGTTACCACTCTTTATGGATAAAGCAAATCCTTTACGGATAAAGCAACTGAGGTTAAGCAGTTTACCCAAGGTCAGCACTTGGTGGAGCTGTAGTCTGAACCCAGAGCCTGAATTCTTAAAGATAACCACGTTCTTAAGAAGTACACTTTCTATTGAGGTTCCCATATTATTTCATGTATTATATCTTATCTCCCAATTAAAATTTGACCTTCTATGTAGGGCAGCACTGTTCAAAAGAAATTTCTGCAATAATGAAAATATTCTAGTCTGTACTGTCCAAAAGCACAGTCTAGCCATAATTTAAAATTTAAATGGCTACATGTAGCTAAAGCATACAGTACTAGTAGGCAACACATGTAAGGATTTCATTTCTTCTGATTTCTCTATAAAGACAAGACTTAAACAAATCAGTAATGCTCAGTTAATGAAAAGGAATGAGTGAAGAATCTCTAGGAAGAGTTTATATTCCCTTAGCTCGGGAGCAGAAATCTTTATTATATCAGGACTTTCAGTGTAATAAAATGTTGTAAGAAGCATATGATACAGCATGCAGTCCTAGAGGAGTTCATGAAGATAGTAAGGGGGATTCTTGAATTCCTTGAAATATCTTTGGAAGACTGACATTTTTTAATCGATGGTCATGACTTTTAAAATACATAGTTATAGCTCTTTGTCTAATAAAAAAAATCACTGCTTAATTTATTGACAAAGCATAAAGTCCATAGAGAGAAAAACAAAAGGGGCCTCTTGGTAGTAAAGGGTGGGAAACCTGTAAGTCAATGGACATTTCCTTCAGAAACTACATTCAAAATTTAATTTTGCTAAAGAGTAAGGAACTGCCAAGTTATCCTCCTAAGTGACTTTATCCCTACTTATACAACAAATATGTACATATACATTCCTCTAATCAAGTAATTCTTAATTTTGGGAAAGCATAATTAATAATAATCTTTTGAAGATAAACCAGAGCTGTCAGGAAGCAGCCAAGTCACGTGCCTCTGTATGCTTCCTGGACAAGCACAGTGCAGCTCCCACAGGACCTCACACCCAATCTTCAATTTGCTTAAAAGAACTATCTCGAAAAATCTTAGCTATTTAGTCACAATTTGTCCTTGCCATGGAACGTTTTTCTTTTACCTTTTTAATAACCTTAGATTTCAAAATCATAAAAGCACACATCAAAGAATTGTGAGAGCAGCTCAGCTTCTCTAGAGATGGCAAATCATGTTCTTTTGATACAATACAAACAGCTCTTTATATTTTAGGCACCTAATCTTCCCTTACTAAATAATTTACAAATAACACAATAGCTACAGAAAACAACAACAAACAAAAATAAACAGAAAAATTCCAATATCTTCACATTCAAATCCCAAAGATATAATCCTGACATCTAAATTAATACATGCTTGGTGCATTGGGCAATTATTCCACATTTGCAAGATAGTATAACATGACCATCTGCTACTGAAATGCCAAAATCACCACTGTTAACGCTTTGCTCCACCTTTTAGAGAGGTTATTAAAGTTTAAGCAGCGTCAACAACCCAGAGGAGGCCGCTATCGTCTCTGTGTGGAAGGCCTGTGACATACTGTTATCAGATTAGCTGCAGGCTCTTCCTTGAGATGTTTTTCTGAGTACAAGAGTGAATGAACTCCTTGGCCAGATCCTCCTAGTCATCTTGCAGTGCTGATGATGGGACCGCAGAGGGAAAAGCACCCAATTGGGGATGGGCAGCTCACAGGCACAGGCCCTGCAGCTGATGCAAACCTTCCCCTCCAAGGTTCTCTCGAGTCTCTGCCAAGAATCGGCTGGAGGGCCCAACTGCTATGCTCTTATTGCTGTAATGACTGCAATTTGGCAGCATCCAGGATGCTGTACGGGAAAGGGAGGGGGAGGAGATGGTGGGCCCCTCTGCTAAAGGCAACGCCGGAAGGGACAGAGGGATGAATTTATTGTGGCCAGCGGTTCGGAGCTGGAAGGAAAGTCAAAGGACTTTAAAGCTCGGGGTGACTCTCCAACTCCTTCTCTGCTCTCAAAGCCTTACTTCCCACGAAGAGTAGGGGCCAAGGCGGGCCAGCTGTAGGGGGGATGCGGTCAGGGGTGAGGTAAGAGGACCCTCCTAGGTGCCGCTGGCAGGCGGCGGTTCGCCGGGGCAGCAAAGCGCTGGAGCTCGGGAGGCGCCACAAAAGGCCGAGGCCTGCGGAGGCCGCGCGCGCAGCTCTCCATGGCTGAGCCGCAGGGTTCACGGCAGCCGAGGCTGCAGTAGCCGCCGGTAGACGGGGTGCCCAGCCTTCCAGCTTGGAGGTCGCGGGGGGGCGAGGAGGATGCCGGAACTGCAGCCCGAACCTCGGAGCCCGGACGCCAAGCTCCCTGGCCCCTGCAACCCCGGAGGGGCGCCGCGCGCGCCGCGGGCCGGGCGGAGCTAGAGGCGGGCGTCTGCACGGCGTCGCGCCACTCGCCGCTCCCCGCCTTCGGCCGGGCCCAGGACCCCTCGGCGGCCGATGCCCTGACGGTGGGCGCAGTTGCAGGGGTGGCGAGGCGTCGCGCATCGGGAGAGGCCTACTAAGACATCCGACGACGGCGGCTGCGCCCACCCGATTGGGACGCCGGGCCCCGCGAACGCGCGCCTCGGCGCTCCCGCCTCCTCCCCTGGCTCCTCCTCGGCGTACGGTCCTCCCCCGACCCCTCCTTCCACCCGCCGAGACGATGCGCTCCCCGGCGCCCAGCAGCGGAGGCCACCGCTCCCAGAAATGCACGCGCCCGAGCCCCATTTCCCGGACCCCAGGAGCCGGCGCCCCCGCCCTGTAGGTAGGTGGTGAGGCGGGGCCCAGCCCTGGCCGCCGCCCGCTGCTGATGCTGCTGCCCGGGAGAGGCCGCGGGCAGGGGCCAGGACTGGCCAAACTTGCCTCCCGCCGGGGCTTGGTGGAGCGCTCAGAGGTGTGCTAATGGCGCTGGGCGCAGCCCCCTGTGAACCTGAAAACCTCTGCGTGAGCTTGGGAGGCCGAGCGGGGGCGAAGGAGAGCTTGACCCTTCCCCGCCCACCCCCTGGGGGCTTGCGGGGGTGCGCGCCGGCGCGGGGGTGGGGAGGACAGGTTGGCATAGGGCTTATTTGGGGAGAAGACCGTTGGATTTTTAGCAGCTCAGGTGGAAATGTGTCACTGTGTTTTTCCGGCTGGATTAGCAGATGCGTTCTTCCCGTCTTTCTAGCCAAAACATGTAGAAAGGCAAAGGTTATATTAGCGGCATGTAGAAGTCGCTGTGGATTTTTGTGTGTATTTCAGAGCTAGCTGGTTGGTATATAAAATCGATGGTGTAAACCCTTACCGTCAACACGTTAGAGCCAGTTTAGAGAAGGTCCTTCTAGAAGTCAGATTATTCGGGAGATCGATGAAGCTGGGATATTGTTGTACTGCTTATTTAAGAGCCTCCTGCTTACGTGAAGGGATGTGTTTTAAGAGTGGCAACTTTGATACAGGTGTCGGGAGTTGAGATTCTGCGAGAAGGATGTACCGGGTCAGCCAGCAGAGGCAGCCTTGTGCTCAGCCTAACTTCCAACTCGATGATATGCTCTGTATTTCTTAGAAACTGGTTAGGTATGAATGCTTGCTTTTTTCCCCCCCTCGGTGTAAAGTTTATACATCAGAGCTTTTGGCAAGTTTCTCCCGTCCCAGGCTGTCATTTTTTGTTTTATATTCAGCAATAAGGTTTAAAGTTTTGAAAAATGCATCACTGTGAGCTCCAATTTTATAGTCACTCTAGATATAGAGATTTGGAGAAGTGACTCAGTGTAATCTCGAAGAGGACAGAATCTTGCACCTTTTTTTTTTTATCCTGTAATCTTCATCTTATGCATAATAAGTGCTCATTAGTTATTTGTTGAATGAATGAACTGTTTCAACCTTTCATCTAAAAACCACAATTTAGAATCACTATGTATTTGTTCTGTGGATGGTGACATTTAATTAGATTTCAAAAATTGTTTCTTTGTATAAATAGGCAAACTCAGTTATTTTAACATTTATATTTGAATTCTGACATTTTTAGGACCATATGCTGTCTTTCTGTAATATGTCATTAAGGTTATGAGGTAATTCTCCCGAACTCTTAAGTTCATTTCATGTCTAAGCTTGCAAAATTTCCAGGCTTATTGGTAATCATGCCTACTTCAGTTATGGTCTCAAACACAATGTAAAAAGTAGAAGTCGTGTTTTAAAGAAAATTCTAAGTTATCCCAGAGGAAAGAATGGTTTGGTTAATAAGTGATGTATTAACTCGTTTTAGAGTTGAGGTTTACTGGTTTGATCTAATTATAATGTCTTTTATTGCAAACAAAAGTAGAAATAAAACATTTAGAAGGGTCTGTGATTCTTACATGATTCAAAATATATGATATAGGTACAAAATTTAAACTGTTTCTTCCTCAGTATGTAAACATAGCAGTTTCCAAATTTGACAGCCAGGGGATTATGAAATGACGGTTTGGAAGATACAGTGTCTTTCTGCTTTAAAATGTTATATATTTTGAAAAAAAAAATCAAGGTTAACTGCATCACACTTTATTTACTTTATTTTTGCCTTATGATATTTTCTGTTTTGATTTTTTTCTCCGTCACATACATTTCAGGAGTCAATGTGAACTTCTTTTCGATCTCTGCTTAACAATATTATCTGGGAGAGCTCCCAGATTTTCTTTCTGTCATTTTAATGCATCTTTACCATCTTCACTTCATATTACCCAAATGACTTATTTTTACACAATATGGTAGGCCATACTTTATTACTATTGCTTCTCCAATTTACTTATGTTGATTGATAAGGAAATAACATTTTTCCTATAAAAGGTAATAAGACTGCAGGAACCAACAGTGGGAGGGAACTTATGAAAAAAATTAATTTGTTGTGATTTATTAAAACAAAGCCAAAATTCCCTCCTGCAATAAAGATAATTACATTTTACACTTCTTAAATTTGTAACCTAGGGTATTAAGCAATAAAATTTACCTGGTTCTTCCTTGAGCACTTTAAGCTTTTCAAAAAAGCCTTCCCTTTTGGTTACAGTAAGCTCTCTTTACCTTGTTACTTGTAAACACTTACTTGTTTATTTTACAAGTAGGAGTTGAGCCCTTAACTGCTCAATTTAACTGCTATTACTTTAGGCCTTGGAATCACAGTCAAATAAAAGCTCTAATCTCAGAATTGAAGAGGTACTTTTCTCTTGTGTGTGTCAGGCATCCAAATGCGTAGTGCCTTTGGGATTGGATGATTCACTTTTGGGTCCTACCTCCTGATCCCCCAGCACTCCGCCTCCACAAGCACCACCAGAATTCAATCCAAGACCTGGATTTCCTCTATCTTCCTAAAGGCTGTATTTTAGAATCCTCTATTCCTTTCTTGCTAAATGCCATTTACAATTGTTTTTTAAATCCCAGGCCATAATTTTTTGTTTGTTTCAATTCAACAGGATCTACTCAATTCACATGTGCTAGAATCAAAATTGTTGGTTGCAGGAAAAAATATATAGAAGTAAATTTGTATGACCTTGAATTTCAGACATAGGGAATACATGAAGAGTAATTGCTGTGTACTGGTCTCCCCTCAACAGTGATACAAAATGCATTTGTTTCTGCACATGCCAGAGAATACGAATTTTCTGTTGCTTAATTTGATCAGAAGCTTAATTGAGAAAAATGATGTTTATGGGGGTTTGGCTGAACAAAGGCCATGATGTCAACCTATTCCCTTCTAAAACTAGCTGTTAGACCAGGAGCCTAGCAGATCGTCAGAAGCTGTACTTTGGTACCTTATTTTGCATCCTTAACACCTCCCCCCAAGTATGCTCACACTGAAAGATTTTATTAATATAGCCAGAGGAAACTAGCTGTTATGTTACCTTCAGAATGTGGTTATGATCATGGTTCTTTCTATGGTTCCTGTTTGAAGACTCTTGCAAGAAATTCCATTTAACTTTAAATGTCAAAGAAAAGCTTTACTTGCCCTGAACAATTTGTATGTCTGTGTATGTGTGTGTGTGTGTGTGTGTGTGTGTGTTATCTTTTCATCATGTAAATGAGAATCAAATAATTGATCATATTTCCCTTTCTAAGTTGGCAACTAGTAAATGAATAGTCAATTTGCAACTCAGTTTTAATAATCATATAAAAATTTATAACCTAATATCAATATTCTTTCATTCCCTTTAGTTTTGAGCTTCTGTTCTGTTGTTTTTCTTGATTCTGATGTTTATCTAATTGTTTTTGCATTTAATTGAATTATATTCAAGATGACGCATATCCTTTGTGGAACAAGGCAGATTATAAAACATAAAGCCAAATAAATGAAAACATTGCACAACTGATCTCTGGACACAGTATGTTTTTGATGAACAAGTTTAATTGGTTACATTAAATGTTTTGAACAAGAATTGCAAATTTAGTACATTTGAACTTTGATAGCCAAATGGAAAATAATGTTACATAGTTTTACAAAACTTTTTTTAATTCTTAGATTTATATTCACTCATTACTAATTTGAAGTTAATAGAGCTATTCAGTTTAAGTCAGTTATATCTGGAGTACCTTAAATGTCATATAAGTTGAACAGGAGTTTCAATAGAATAAAGTCATTTTTAGCCAAAGATCTAGCCTAACTTAGCATAACGTTCACCAAAGTGAATCAACAGTCTGACCTTCACATTAGTGATTCATGTGATTTATCCTTGTTTTAATAAATCATAGTCTTCTCTGAGCCTCATTTATTTACCATGAAATTTAAAAGAAAAGAGCTCCCTGAGTTAATTCTTAATACTGATATTTTGACAACTAATTGTTAAGTTGGTTGAATTTACCCAGGTAACTCATTATTTACATCTACATGGTAAGTTAAGCTTGATACATTTATCACTACGGTAAGCAGAAAGATTGGCCTTTCTCAAGAGTCAGTCATTGGTACAGTTTGGTAGCCATTGCCATATAAATGATCTGAATTCAGAAGCGCAACTTAAAAGATAAGCGGGGGTTGGAGGGGAACTTGGGCAGGTTTGTACATAGAGGCATCTCATTCCGATAACCTTCGTGTCTTTTTTTAAAATTTATTTTTAGAATAGGTAGTATCCTCATGGTTCAAAAGGTATGAATGGCTCTAGAGTGAAAAGACTCCTTCTCATTCTCATTCCCAGTCACCCATTTCACTAATCCACAGGTAACCGGTGTTAGTTGAGAATGTTCTAGTGACATTTTATGCATATATAAGCAAATATGAGCATGAAGCTGCTCATTTTCTCTCCTAACCTGTCTCTGATTCACTCTATTCCATTCCCACTGCCTCTGTTTGGCTCCTTAGATGCCATGGACTGTTGTCTACATTCTACCTTGCTCTGCTTTTCAGCCCCCACATTCTAGCCGGCTGTCCTTCCAAACTTCTCCCTTTAGGCTCTCTAAAAGATTTCCATCATACACGGGAAGGAATCTGCACATCTTACCCTGGTCTCTTGGACCCTGAGAGATTCATCTCCTGTCCCTGTCCCTCCTTGTCATATGTTTCACCCACAGTCATTCTTAGCTAAGTCCCCTTGACTCATTTTATAGACCCATTAAAAAACCTGATGGAAAGTTCAAGTTGTCCTCATGCACTGTAGGCACCATTAGCCTACATGTCCTTGTTTATGGACCCCCAAGTGAAAAATTTGTATTTTAGTAATACAAAACGAATTGCCACTTTCTGCACATGGATAGAGTATGACTTTTCTTCTCCATGTTGTTACCTCTGCTTGGAACATGCTGTTCAATTTTCATGTGCAAGCCACACTAATG